GGGTGACGGCATCTTGTCTGATGTGTGCTCTCTCGTGCACTGGCGCACTGGGCGTACCTGGAACACTCTGCGCGCGTCGCGCGGCGTAACTACGTGATGTATCTGGCGCAGTCGCGGTCCTTGGCGCACGTGGCGTACCTGCGTGATGTATCTGGCGCAGTCGCGGTCCTCTTCATCGTCCACCTCCTCCTCCTCCTCCTCCTCCTCATCCTCCTCCTCCTGGTCCTCACCCTCATGATGATGATAATGATGATGATAATGATGATGATGATGATGATGATGATGATGATGATGATGATGATGATGGAAATTCTGCTGCTGCTGATGATGATGCTGATGGTGAAGATGATGATGCATCATCAGCAGCATCATCACCATCATACATCATCATCGGTATCACTATCACCATCACCAGCAGCATGAGCTGGTTTCGCCGGCGCTGGTTTCGCCTCGCTGGTTACGCTGGCGCTGGTTTCGCTGGCGGCTGGTCTCGCCGCCGCTGGTTTCGCCGGCGCTGGTTTCGCCTCGCTGGTTACGCTGGCGCTGGTTTCGCTGGCGGCTGGTCTCGCCGCTGCTGGTTTCGCCGGCGCTGGCTTCGCCGACGCCGTCGTAGCCGCCGGCGGGCGGAGCCTCGCTGGCAGGTCGGGTCGGGTCGGACATTTAAAGTGGGGGGCGCTCGCGAGCACGCGCGAACCCTGACGGGCGGGTCGAGTCGGGCGGGTGGACCCTCGCGAGCGGGTGCAGGTCGGGAGGGGGCGGGCGGACCCTGACGGGCGGGTCGGGTCGGGCGGGCGGGACATTTAAAGTGTGGGGCACGCTCGACCGAGCACGCGCGAACACTAACGGTCGGGTCGGGTCGGGCGGGCGGACCCTAGCGGGCGGGTCGGGTCGGGCGGGCGGACCCCGACGTGCGGGTCGGGTCGGTCGGGCGGGCGGGACATTGAAGTGTGGGGGGCGCGCTCGACCGAGCACGCGCGAACCCTAATGGGCGGGTCGGTCGGGCGGGCGGACCCTAGCGAGCGGGTCGGGTCGGGTCGAGCGGGCGGACTCTGACGTGCGGGTCGGGCCGGACGGGCGGGACATGAAAGTGTGGGCGCTCGACCGAGCACGGGCGAACCCTGACGGGCGGGTCGGGTCGGGTCGGGCGGGCGGACCCTGACGGGCGGGTCGGGTCGGGCGGGCGGGACACGAAAGTGTGGGGCGCGCTCGACAGAGCACGGGCGAACCCTAAAACGGGCTGGTCGGGCCGGGCGGGGAGACTGTAGCGGGCGGGTCGGGTCGGGTCGGGTGGGTGGACCCTGACTGGCGGGCCGGGCTGGGCTGGAGTGACATTAAAGTGTAAAGTGCGCTCGACCGAGCACGCGCGAACCCTAACGGGCGGGTCGGGTCGGGCGGGGGGACTGTAGCGGGCGGGTTGGGTCGGGTCGGGCGGGCGGACCCTAACGGGATGGTCGGGTCGGGCGGGCGGACCCTAGCGGGCGGGACGGGTCGGATCGGGCGGGCGCATCTTGACGGGCGGGTCGGGCCGGGCGGGTGGGACATTCAAGTGTGGGCCGCGCTTGACCGAGCACGCGCGAAACATAAGGGGCGTGTCGGGTCGCGCGGGCGGACCATAACGGGCGGGCCAAATCGGGCAGTTTCGCCGACGGGAGCTGGTTTCGCCGACGGCATCTGGTTACGCCGACGGGGCTGGTTTCGCCGACGGAGCTGGTTTCGCCGGACGGCGAAACCAGCTGGGCGAAACACGCCAGGCGAAAGCAGCAGGGCGAAACCAGCCGCCGGCGAAAACCAGCGGTCGCCTCACCAGCAATAGCATCATCATCAGCAGCAGCATCATGATCATGATGATGATGATGATGATGATGATGATGATGATGTTCATGATGATGATGATGTTCATGATGATGCTGATGAGGATGATCATAATCGCCATCACCATCACCATCACCATCATCATCATCATCATCATCATCATCAGCATAATCAGCATCATCAGCATCATCAACATCATCAACATCACTCACCATCATCATGATTACCATCAGTACATAATCATCATAGTCACCATCATGATCATCATCATCAGCATCATCATCATACTCATCACCATCATCACCATCATCACCACCACTATCATCATCATCGTCATCGCCAGCATGACCATCACCATAACCATCATCCGCACCACCATAATCGTCATCGTTATCGTCATCGTCATCACCATTGCCATCATCATCATCATCATCATCATCAGCATCATCATCATCGTCGTATCATCATCATCATCATCATCATCATCATCATCATCATCATCATCATCATCATCATCATCGGGCGGGTGGTAATGGTAAGTAAGTAGTCTACATGGGGGGTTAAGCAGAGAGCCCTAAAGGGGCCCCTTTGGCCCCTTCGTGAGCAGCAGGGCCATCCCCCCCGCCCCCCCCCCAATCTAGGCTCAAACCACCCACAATTACCACCAGCCCGCCGTAATCACCACCACAGCCACCACCAGCAGCATCATCATCATCGTTGTCGTCATCATCATCATCAGCATCATCATCATCAGCATCAGCATCAGCATCAGCATCAGCATCATCATCATCAGCATCATCATCATCATCGTCATCGTCACCATCATCATCATCATCATCGTCATCAGCATCATCATCATCATCATCATCATCATCATCATCATCTTCATCCTCATCATCATCATCATCGTCATTCTCAGCACCATCATCATCATCAGCAGCAGCACCAACATGAGCATCAGCATCAGCATCACCACCACCACCATCAGTATTACCACCATCATCATCATCATCATCATCATGATCAGCATCATCCTCATCATCATCATCATCATCATCATCAGTGTCAACATCATCATCATCAGCATCGTCATCCTCATCCGCCATCCTCATCGTCATCCTCATCCCCAACCCCATCCTCATCCTCATGATCACCCTCACCCTCATCCCAACCATCATCAGACTCATCCTAGTCACCACCACCACCACCGACAAACCACAGCATCATCATCATCACCACCTTCATCATCAGCATAGCCATCACCATCAGCATCACTACGATCGCCGTCACCATCACATTCACCATCACAATCAACATCACCAGCACCATCATCCTCATCCTCCTCATCATCATCATCATCATCATCATCACACTCATCATCAGCACCACCACCACCACTACCACCACCACCACAAACGCCATGATCGTCATCATCATCAGCATCGTCGCCATCGCCGTCGTCATCAGCATAATGATCCTCATCCTCATCCTCATCATCAGCGTCGTCATTATCATAACCATCATAGTTGACGTAGTCATCATCGCCATCATCACCCGCATCATCATCATCATCATCATCATCATCATCATCATCATCATCATCATCATCATCATCATCATCACACTCATCATCAGCACCACCACCACCACTACCACCACCACAAACACCATGATCGCCATCATCATCAGCATCGTCGCCATCGCCGTCGTCATAAGCATAATGATCCTCATCCTCATCCTCATCATCAGCGTCGTCATTATCATAACCATCATCGTTGACGTAGTCATCATCGCCATCATCACCCGCATCATCATCAGCATCATCATCATCATCATCATCACCATCAGCATCATCATCATCATCATCGGCATCATGGTCATCAGCGTTATCACCATCATCATTAACAACACCATCATCAGTATCATCTTCATCATCATCACAAGCATTACCATCATATAGGTGATAATCAACATCATCATCGTCATCATCAGCACCGTCATCGTCGTACTCATCATCATCATCATCATCATCATCGGCATCAGTATCATCATCATCGTCATCACCATCATCCTCATTATCAGCATCATCGCCGTCACCATCCTCATCAGCAGCAGCATCATCAGCATCATCAGCATCATCATCATCATCACCATCATCAGCATCGTCGTCATCGTCGTCATGATCATCAGCATCGTCATCGTCATCGTCATCCTCATCGTCAGCATCATCAGCATCAGCATCATCATCATCAGCATCGCCATCATCGCCATCATGCTCTTCCTTCAGCTGCTGTTGCTCCTCGTCATCCTCATTCTTCCTCCTCCGTCTCCGCCTCCGCCTCCTTCACGTCCTCGTCGTCATGACCTTCCTCCTCCTCGTCCTCCTCGTCCTCCTCCTCCTCCTCCTCCCCCTCATCCTTGCCGCCGCTGCTGCCCTTTCATTATCCACCTCCATTTGCTCCGCATCCGCTTCCTCAACGCTCTCGTCGTCCTCCTCCTTCTGTTCATCCGACTCACTTTCTCGGCGCCGAACGCCTCCATTCGTCATGCGAATCCTGCTTCGTCCACCTGCACTTCAACATGTCTGTCGTTTTACCGCACCCTCGCAAACGTGGGGCGCACGCTATCCTGGATCACGGACCCGTCCGTGGATCTGGCACGTGAATGCCAGATCCACCGATCGGGGAAAGCACTCCCAGAAACACCAGGCCTGTGCCGCCCGCTTTGGCGACGCAGCGCACCGATTCTGCATGTAAACGGACCCGCCGCTGGTCCACGCGGCTGATGGGGAGACCAAGCGGTACCGATACCGCTACTCCCGGGACCTCTCCCAGGGTGCGTTCTGACTTGGATTTCGAGGCGAATCCTGCGGTGGCGACGAGGACCTCCCAGGAGGCCCAAAAAGGAGGACAACGAAAAAAGGGTAGAGGTATGGGTGCCTTTTCCTTCTGTGGGCTGAGTCCATGCTTTTGCGGCCCCAGAGATCCGATGTTGTGATTTTTCCAATGCGGGGTCCCTCGAAGTCTCGACCCATTCTCCAGGACCAGCTTTTCATCCTGAGTCGTTTTGTTGACGCTCCCGGGGCCTGGCGAGGGTCCCTAGAGGCCGAAAGATCTGAACAAAATCTCCGCCTGGATGTTTGCAAGACGTTGGACCTGGGGCTCCCTCGCCACTGGCAAACGGCGCTCCTGCTCCTCGCCATCAGCACCACGCGCCGCGCGGTGGTGCCCACCACCAGGCAGTCCAGGCCGGCCGCGCGGCCCGCGGCGGCACACGGCGCGAGGCCGACGGAGGCGATGTCCTCCGGGAGGAGGAGCCCCTCGCCTGCGGCCGGGCGCTTGTCAAGAGGCTGCTGCGCTTCGGTGCCCCGGTGCTCTCGGCGTCCAGGAACCTTGGGCTTGCCCAGAGATCCGACGTATTGAACAAAAACAAGACGGAGGTTTCTCTTATGTTTCTGCCTCTAGGGGCCCTCATCGGGTGCCAGGACCGTCACAAAACGACTCGGGATGAAAAACTGGTCCTGGAGAATGGGTCGAGACCCCCGGGGGCCCCGCATCGGACAAATCACGGCATCGAATCTCTGGGTTCGCTGCGGAGTGAGACCTGAACGCTCTGGAACGGCTTGCCCTCGCCGCAGCCCCGCCCGAGAGGCCACCGCGGGGCAACGGAGCGTGCACCTTGCCGGCACGACTCCTGGGCCCGCGGCGGCAGCTCAGGGGCCGCTACATAGGCCCCTTTCCGGGCCGCCCCTCTGCAGTCCTCAAGAATCCCCCGTGCTCATTGCCTCCCCCTCGCGGAGGGGCCGACTGTCCACCACCGAGACCGCAGGCAGGAGAGGGAGGAGGAGGAGGAGGAGGAGGAGGAGGAGGAGGAGGAGGAGGAGGAGGAGGAGGAGGAGGAGGAGGAGGAGCCGCCTGCTCATTGCCCCCCCCCCCCCCCCCCGGCGCTGCCGAGCGCCCAGCCGTGGCCCCGCCTGCCACACTCTGGCACCCCCCGCTGCTGCCCCGCTCGCTAGAGGCCCCTTCCGGGTCACTCCCCTGCAATCCTCCACCCCCCCGCTCATTGCCCCCCCCACCCCCCGCGCTGCCCAGCGCCCAGCCGAACCCCCACCTGCCACACGCTGGCACCCCCCGCTGCTGCCCTGGCGTGCTCAGGCCGCCCGCTGCGGCCCCTGCCGCGCCTCCGCAGCGTCGCAGATGCCTGCGCCCGGGGCCTCCGAGCCTCTGTGACCTGTTCGACCCGTCCAGGCCGCGGAGCTCCGAACCCCGTCCTCTGGGGCCCGCCGCGGGCCGCTCCGCAGCTGCTGGCCCATGGGGTCCCGAGGCGGCCGCGGAGGCCGGAACGACAGAAGCGACGGCCGCGTAAAATCGCAGAGGCGGGGCGCCCGCGAGCGGGGCATGTGGCGGCACCTCGGGAGCCCCACCCAGCGCAGGGGGGCGCCCGCAGGCGGACACACGAGGCGCCCACGCGCGGGAGCGTGGCGAAAGTCCAGGGACATCACCCAACGCATCGACGCAGGCGAGAGCCCCTGTGCAAGCACTGTGAGGAGGAGGAGGAGGAGGAGGAGGAGGAGGAGGAGGAGGAGGAGGAGGAGGAGGAGGAGGAGAGGAAGGAGGAGGAGGAGCAAGAGGAGGAGGAAGAGAGGAGGAGGAGGAGGGTGAGGAGCAGGAGGAGGAGGAGAAGGAGGGGGAGGAGAAGGAGGAGAAGCAAAAAGGCGGAGGAGGAGGAGGAGGAGGGGAGGAGGAGGAGGAGGAGGAGGAGGAGGAGGAAGGAGGAGGAGGAGGAGGAGGAGGAGAAGAGGACAAAGGAGGAGGAGGAGGAGACAGAGGAGGGGGAGGAAGAGATGGAGGAGGAGAAGGAGGAGGAGGAGGAGGAGGAGGAGGAGGAGGAGGAAGGGGAGAGGAGGAGGAGGAGGAGGAGGAGGAGGAGGAGGAGGGGGAGGAGGGGGCGACGGAGGAGGGGGAGGAAGAGACGGAGGAGGAGGAGGAGGAGGAGGAGGAGGCGGAGGAGGAGGCGGCGGAGGAGGGCGAGGGGGAGGGGGTTTGCTTGCTGCTTCGCGATCTCTGGGCTCGCGCGCTGCCCAGCCTGCTCCGCGCCTCTCTCGCGGCGGGCCCTCGCAGGTCCACAGGAGGTGCTACCCGTCCGGGGCGTCGGGAGGGCCCGCGCCTCGCCGTGCCGCCCCCGGGGGCAGCGCGACGGACACCAGCATCCCCCCCCCACGCGCCCTGCACGAAGATGAGCACAAACCGTCCTCCTCCCTCCCTCCTCCTCCTCCCTGCCTCCCTCTGCTCTCCTCCTCGTCCTCCCCATCCGCGTCCTTTTCCTCACCGCCCCCCTCCCGAGTTACTCCTCCACATCCTCACCATCCTTCCCTCCTTGCTTCCTCCGCCGCCTCCTCCGAGGCCTCATCCGCCCCCTCCTCATCCTCCTGCTCACTCGTCCGTCTCCTCCATGCCCTCCGCCCTGAGTGGGAGGTGCTGCTGAGGGGGCCATGCCCGCGACCCCCCCCCACACACACTACATACCAAGCAACCGACCAAGCCCTTCCTACTCCCTATCCTTTTGTTCCTCGCGCTCCTCCTCCTCTTGCTCCTCCTGCCTCCTCTTCTTCACCTCCTCCTCCTCCTCCTTCGTCCGTCGGCCTGTCGGCCGCGCTTCGGCGCATGCACCCTTACCCTTACCCTTACCCTCCTCCTCCTCCTGTCCTCCCATTTCTCCCCTCCTTCTCTTTCCCGCACCCGGCCCCCACCATTGACGCGCGGCCTTCCTGGGACTGGCCGCAGGAGGAGGACGAGGAAGGAGAGGGGTGAGAGGATAGGAGAGCCCCCCCTCTCTCTTCTCCCGCCAGCTTTCTTTTCCTTTCTCGTGCCTCGCCCCTTGACCCCCTCAACGAGGAGGGAGTGGGAGGATGTCTGGAAGGGAGGAGGATGAGGAGGAGGAGGAGGAGGGGAGAGAAGGGAGGAAGGCAGAGGATACTGGCGGAGGAAAAGGAGCATGAAGGATGAGGAGGAGCATGGAGGAGGAGGAGGAGGAGAAGGAGGAGGAAGGAGGAGGAGGAATGAGAAGGAGGGAGGAGTAGCGAGGGGAGCGCGGAGGAGGAAAAGAGGGCGGATGGGGGGGAGGAGGGCCACGGCGACGTCGTCGTCGACGACGGCGGCGCTCACCGTCGGAGCCGGCGCTGTCCGGGTCGTCGGGGAGCGCCGCGCCGCCGCGGTCCTCCAGCCACGACCGCCCCAGCGGCGAGCTGGGGAGAGCGAGGGAGAGCCGCCCTTTTGAGGCGGCGCGCGCGCCGCCCCGCGGGCTTTTCGAGCCCAGGCCTGCTCGCGTCGTGCCCGGATTCCCCATACTTTCCTACATGTTCTAAGCTTTTGTCGGCCCCCCAATTCCTACATTATCCCATATTTTCCTGGGAGTCGACGATGACTTGTGTCTTTGTGTTTTTTCCCTCCTGAATATAAAGCGCTGCGGGGGGGCATTTTGCAAGGAAAACCACTGCCTCCCGGAGTCCTCGACGTGCCTCGGGAACGTCAGAAAACAACTCGCGATGAAAAACCGGCCCCAGGAAAGGGGTCTGGACCCCTGAGGGGCTCCCTATTCTTCGAAACATCGACATGTCATCTCTCTTCGACTTCGAGGGGAATAACAATCCCGCGACCTCTTCTGGGTCTTCTGGGGGCCCCCTCGTCGCCTCGGAATCAGGTCACAGGTCGCTCTCCGAGAGGGGTCCGGGGGTTCCGCTCCAAGGAGGGTGGATCGCATCGAATTTTGTTCAATCCCAGAGTTTTTCCGCAATGCCGCCGTCCCGAAGACGTCAGCCACACTACGATCACAGATCGACATGTTAAGAGAAAGACGGCACTGAACATCACTTGGTGTTGGGTCGGGCGTGTCCCCCCCAAGGGCGGATAGTGGACAGCAAATAAGAAGTACCCAGAAACAAATTCAAACATACTTCTTGAGCAGGGACCGACCGTCCCTGCATTCCTATAGTCCTACCACGAAATTATCCTGGAACCCAAAAATGTTCTAATGAAAATGTTCTCAGAACAGAAGCCCGATGTGACAAAACAAGACAGACTCCGCCAGAATTGTTGTAAGAACATTTCGTGGAAGCTACAAAAGGTTCTTAGAACATTGCTTGGTAGGGCTGTAAGCGAGCCAGGACGCCTCGCCAAATCTTGAACTTCAAACTAGTCAGACCATCGTCCCCATAGTGTGTCTTGACTCATTTTGAATACGCCTGCTGTAGAGGGACACGCCCGACTTCACACCGAGCATCACTCGGCGCGGCCCTGCTCGGCGTGTCGGGGGCGGCCAAGAGGGGGGCGGCCAAGAGGGACGCAGTGACATAAGAAGAGGCGCCATGACATCTGGGGAAATGTCATGGCCCACGCCATGAAATCCACCCCCCCTAGTCTTATGTCGGGCGTATGCCCTGCAGGGGGATTTTCGACGAAAAATAAAAGAAATACACCAAAAATTTCACCAAGAAGGTCAACGAAATACACCAAAAATAGTCCCCAGATTATTTTGGGACTATTTTAAACAATTTTTGAAGCATGTTTTACTTTTCGTCGAAAACCCCCCTGTAGGGGGACAGGCCCGACCTCACACCTTTGACCTTGTTTTGAATATTTGTCGACCTTTTTGGTGTATTTTTCGGGTAGTTTTTATTGTTCGTCGAAGATCCCCCTGTAGGGGGGACACGCCCGACCCAACCCTGGTCGCCACGCCCCCTAGTCATCACCCCCCCTAGTCATCAGCCCCCCCAGTCATCACCCCTCGTCATCACCCCCCTGGTCGTCACCCCCCCCTGGTCGTCCCCCCCTCTGGTCATCACCCCCACTAGCCATCACCCCACCTAGCCATCACCCCCCCCAGTCATCACCCCCCAGGGACACGCCATGAAATCCCCCCTCCTCGTCATCACCCCCCTCTTTGCCGCCCCCAGGGCGTGCGACCTCCCCGCCGACGGCGCGGGCCCCGCGGGCCACGCCGCACCACCGGCCACCGGCACGCTCGGCGAGGCCTCCTCCTCCTCCTGCTCTTCCTCCTCCTCCTCCACCTCCTCCTCCTCCTCCTCGTCCTCCTCCTCCTCCTCCTCCTCCTCCTCCTCCTCCTCCTCCCCCTCCTCCTCCTCCTCCTCCTCCTCCGCCCCCTTCTCCTCGTATCTTCCTCGTCGTCCTCCTCTTTCCCCTGTCCTCCTCCTCCTCCTGCTCTTCCGCCGGCAGGACGCCGCCACAGCGCGGGGTGCTCTGGGAGCGAGCCAGCGCGCTCAGACGAGGCTTCGAAATGTGTGGAGGGGCCCTGGGACACACGGATGAATAGGCACAAAGCACAGGATGTCCCATATTTTTTCCCATATTTTCTGGGCGTTCCTCTTCCCCCCACTTCCCGCATTTTCCCACCGACGATTCATTGTGCCTGTGTGTGTTTTTTCCCCTCCTGGAGAAACCCAACCCCGAGACCCTAGGACGTCCCATGGTTTCTATGGGGGGAGCGTCGCGCTCTCCATCGCAGAGCCATCGAAGCCTAAGAAAACCAGGGCACCCTGGAGGCGAGCAGGTTGTTTGGCATGGGCCTCCACTGTAGTTGGTCGCCGGTCCTGACCCAGGAGGGGGTTGGCATGGGTCCTGGTTGGCCGCCAGTGGCGTGGGGAAGAGGGTGTCTGTCAATCAAGAAAGGTGAATAAAGATCTCCCCCCCGCGAAGAAGGGCCGTCTCGATCACTCCAACCCACCCTCCATTACATAATTGACACCCGAGCCTCAGCATAGGCAGAGGCCGATCTGCGGAAACCAAAAGGTAACGATACCGCTACTCCCCGGACTTCTCCTACGGTGCGTTCTGGCCAAGGTTTCGAAGCGAATCCAGCGGTGGCGACGAAGGCCCCCCAGGAGGCCCCCCAAAGGGGAAACGGGCGACACGTAGCGGTATGGATACCTTTTCCCCCTGCGACCATCGACGCCCATCGGGGATCAGCGTAGATGCCCGCGCGCTCCGCAGCGCTGGCAGCGCGGTGCGCGCGCGGCCGCGAGCCTGCCGCCGCGGTGGCCGTGGCAGCGCGGGAGGCGCCCGGATCGAGCCGGCCAGCGCCCTCGGAGTGGTGCTCCCTGCCAGCAGGCGCGGCCCCGGCGCGCAGCACGCAACGCGTAGCGCGTTGGCACGCAGGTCTGGCGCGGTGCGTTCGCCACGGAGTGGGCCAGCACGCGCGCGAGACACGTGCTGAACACTGCGCGCGTTGGATGTCCACGCGTGCACATCAGCACAGCCGCGGCGCGGTGCGAGCTCCCCGACCATATCCGACGGCCTCCTCGGGGGCGCCAGGCTGGAAGGCTGCTACTGGACTGCTGTGCTGCGCTCTTTTTGGGCTGGTGAGCGGTTTCTGCTTCGGCGCTTCGCCATTGGGCGGAAGGGGGGGCATCGGCGGTGGACAAACCTCCCTTCAGTGAACCACCCTTTAGTGAAAACGGCCTGGGACCGAAACCGACGGACCTGGACCCGCAAAATAACTGCCGCGACGCCCTCTCGTGAACCGAAAACGGCCAATTCTTTCATCGACGTGTCAGGGTAGGAGGTCTATCCACCTCCGAGCGTTTCGACATTGGGCGGAAGGGGGGGGCATTGGGGGGTGCGTCTGGCTCTGGACCTCTGCTGAGTGCGACTGTCTGTGACAGTGCGTCATATGGGGGGAGACTCCACCTGCTCGAACAAGGCGCCAACAGAAGCAGCAGAGATCTACTCCATGGAGGGGTGGGGAGGGGGGGGGTGCAGGGGCCCGCGCCGATCGGCAAAACAGTGGATACGAAAACGACCACCCTTGGGCTGCCTTCTATGTGTTTTCTCTTGTCTGTCGAGTCCTGTCTCTCTCTTCTGCCGTGTACAGTCGGGGCGCTAAACGAAGGAACCCTCGCCTTTTCGTGTGGGAGGGACTCAGTGTTCCTCAGGTGTTTTGGAGTGTGCCTTCGGCTTCCCCTTGGTTTTCGATGGGGAATCGAAGCCTCGTGCATGGAAAAGGGGGGCCTCGCTCCTCATGTTTGGGTTCCTAGGGTCAACGCCCCGACGGTATGCGTAAAGAGGGAGGAGGAGGAAGAGGAGGAGGAGGAGGAGGGGGAGGAGGAGGAGGAGGAGGAGGAGGGAGGAGGAGGACGGGGGGGGGCCCGCCCGCCCCCCGAAGAGTCCCTCTCAGACTCCCGGCCGCGCACAAAACGGTCCCTCCGAAATTCGCACGGGGCGCCGCCCCCTCGCCGCGCCGGGGGAGGCGCCTCTCGAAGACGGCCCAGGGAGGCTCTCCGCGGAGGGCGTCACGAGAGCCCCAAGACGGTCGAAGGTGGTGCCGAGATGCATCCAAGATGGCCGAGGGAGGCTCCGCGGAGGGCTTCACAGGAGCCCAAGACGGTCGAAGGTGGTGCCAGGATGCATCCCAAGGCGGCCCAGAGGAGGGCCCCGACACGCCGCCTGAGTGCGCAGCAAGCGTTGCACAAGACTCGTACGTGCTCGAAGTGTGTGTACTACCTGTCCCACGTTCTCCCTATGATGTCCAGCCATCGTTTCAAGACGACCCCAAGACAACCCCAGCACGCCCTGAAGATGGATGGCCCGAAGACGCCCTCAGAGGCCCCAAGCTGCCCCCGGCAAGGCCCCATGATGGGCCCAAACGTGGCCCCGAGAAGGTCCACCCACGCCGCCTCCCCCCCCCCCGGGCGCCGCCGAACCGTGGCCACAAGAGGGCTCGGCCCTGGGGGGGCCAGCGGTGCAGCAGGGGCCCGACCACAGGAAACCTTCCACAAGAAGCCCAACCCTCAGACCCCAGGGCGTCCCTTGATTTTTGGTGGGGGAGCGTCACGCTCTCCATCGCAGAACCATCGAAACCCAAGAAATCCAGGGCACCCTGGAGGCAAGCAGGGTGTTTCTTGGCATGGGCCTTCACTGTAGAGGGTGCAGCCCTTCAGAAACCGATGGCGGTGCGTCGTACGCCTGGAGCAAGCTGAGGCACGCTCGGACAGAGTAAGTTTCCTGCCGACCTCGGTAGTAGCAGGATGCGCGCTGGACACAAACCTGCACGCTCGTAGTGGGCTTCCTGGCAACAACGCCTGCGAAAACGCGATGTGCTGGGAGGGGATCCAAATACACCCCAAGTCGTCAAGTCGGTCAAAGACGCCCCAAATTCCCAAACTGTGGGGTGCTGAGGCGCTGGGCGACGGAATCGATCCCTGACATTGAATTTTCAACGACGATAGCAAAGCGAAGTTCACCTCAAATAAGCCAGCACGTGGCACCTTCGGAATGATACTCTAGCTGGCAATGCTTGTAGCGCGATGCGCGCCAGGAAAACGCCGGAACGCTCGGAGCGAGTTTCCTGTTGACAACGCTGGCAGCTCGAAGTGCACACCGGAAGCGAACCAGCACGCTCGCGAGGCTCAAGGGAAGGGCGCGAGAGAGACACAGGATGGACACCGGCCAAGGGTACCTGTAGTGCTGAAACTATAGACCTCTAGGTAGCCCTGGTCAAGAAAAAACGAACCAGGAGGAAACGCCGGTCCTGGAGAAGGTAGTCCGGGGGCCAACGAATTTTAAATGGCTGTGGCACAGCTCCGCTGGTGTTGCGCACAGACGGCCCCCAGATGTATGGCCAGGCTGCCAACAAACAGGCCCCAAGAGCAGCTCTGGGCGGTCTCGGCACTCCCGCGCCCAGGGGCTGGGGCGTCGAAGCCACCGCGGCCGACGTCGCCCCTCAAAGCCTGCTGAGGCCAGCTGGAACGGTCTATCTACTGGGGCTCTCTGCGCGCAGCCCCGAGCCTTGCTGAGGAGGCAGGCCACCCGACGTCGCAATTCGCGGCGCGCGAGCCGTGGGCGTCCCCCCGGGAGAACGGCCGCTCTCCCGCACAAGCCGCGGCACGCGCAGCGCGGTAGTCCTATCGCGACCCTGCGGGTGGCCCAGAAGAGAAGCAGGTGTGCCTTGCTTCGGTCGTTCGATCTTGCCCCTCTCTGTCTCGATCCCTCTCTCTCCGCTGCCTCACCACCATTGGCACCACAAGAATCCTCTCCCCACCAAGTACCACGAGTAATAAGGATACCAGACGAGGGTGCTACATTTCAAATGCCACCCCGCGTGCTGCCTTTTCGGATCAGCTCATCGCCAATTCGGCACGCACTGTTGGGCGGCCACGAATATCACACCTTCCCGCGGCGGTGCAACACGTCGCTGTGATGCGATGGAACAACAAGCAGTCGCAAACGAACCTCCAGCGAAATGACGGCTGCAAACAAAAAGAAGTGGTGCCTTGATGCACGCGACAAGTTGGTCGCTAAGCCAGCGCCAGCGGCAGCCCCCGTGCCTTTGGTCGTTGCTCGAAGGGGGGGCAGCAAATCAGAAGCTGAACTTCAACACCGATGCCTTACGCAACTCGCTCCGAAGACCTGGGAAGTGCTACGGCGTGTGCACGCGTAAGGCCTCCGTTCGAGACGACAAAGGCTCGGGCCACCGTGCGCCATGTGGTTGCTGATCCACGTCTCCCTGCGAAACACGTGACGAAGCGTGCCCCCAGATCGAAACTGGGATGCTGCCATCTGAACCCCGTGTCCCCGAGGGATCGTTTCCCGTGGGCTGCTACTTGGCACTGCTGCCCCCGAGGGCCGCCTCCCGGCCGCCCAAGATGATGGCCCGAGGCGGGCCCCAGGCGGCCTAGGCTCAAGACCGCCCGATGCCATGACATCTTGGCCAGCGTGGACCCCAAACGGTGTGCTCTCGCATGCTCTGCGATGTGATGTGTGCGATGCAGCTCACATAGAGCAGGATGTGCAGTACAATCCATGCGGTACCAAGCAATGCGGGACAATCTCCGCCATGCAATCGATGCGGTGCACTCTTGAAGTGCACCCCGTTGGATGCACCATGCTATTTGATACTGCGGTATGCTTCACAGGCTATGCTGTGCTGAGTTGAGCTGCGCAGTGCTGAGTTAAGCTGTGCTGTGCTGTGCTGTGCTATGCTGTGGTAAGCTGTGCTATGCTGTGCGAGTACACGAGTGCGAGTGCGAACGAGTGCAAGCGGCGGGGACGGACGGCGGCGACGGGCGGCGCCGAGCCAGCCAGATCGGCACCCTGGCCCACTTCCCATCTTCTCCTGCGTTTTCCTGGGAATCAACGATTCACCGTGTCTGTGTATTTTTGTCCCCTCCTGATGTCAGTGTGCCTGGCAAGGGTTCTGTCGAATTCTTTGGGCCGCACGAACCTCGCCGCGCACGTCGTCAGAGACTCGCCGCCCCCCCCCGCCCGGCGTTACCCCCTGGCCCGCCCTGTTTGGCCTCCAGGCGGCTCCACGACGGCCCAAGGATGCTCTCAAACGGCGGCTGATGCCCGAAGGAAGGACCAAACGAAAGCAGCAGAACGACCGCACAGGGGTTTCAGTATGTCCCCGAACCCGAGGTACCCCAAGAGGTCCAAAGAGCCGCCAAGAGACGGCCAAGCGTGTCCCCAGCGAAGCACGAGGAGGCCCAAAACAATGAACACATAGAGCAAGCAGTGCTTCTTCCATGCTCCCTTTCGGCCGCTGCCTGCTTTGGGAAACTGTAGGAAGCCCCAGGGACTCCACGCAACGGCTCAAGACGACCCAACTAGAACGACGAAGCGTCACAGCTCTGCCCGAGTCCCACCCTCCAACCCCCCAACGCTCCTCGTCCTCCTCCTCCTCCTCCTCGTCCTCCTCATCCTCCTACTCCTCCTCCTCCTACTCCTCCTGCTCTTCCTCCTTCCCACCAAAAAAACTTCGCGAGAGGGCCCAAAGATGGCCCTGAGACCTTCCCAACTCACCTCAAGACGGTGCACTCGAGCCTCGCCGGCAGAGTCTGGAAGAGCCACCGCGTCCACGACGGCCTCGAGACGACCAACTGGGCCCCAGAGAAGCTCCCAGCAGGGCCTCGGGAGGTCCCAACGAAACCCGCAGATAGCCTCCGAAATGCCTCCTAGAGGGGGGAGGGAGGGTCGGGGATGGACAGAACCCCCTTTAGCAAAACGTGGTGTAGAAAAAACAATCTCGGGCCCAAGCCTGGCGGGCGCAAGCCTGGAAAATGACGGCCGCGGCGCCCTCTCACGAACCGAAGACGGACAATTCACAAATCGAGTGTCAGGGTGGGGGTTCTGTCCACCCCCGAAAGGGGAGGAGGGGGGAGGAGAAAGAAGCTGCGGACAAAGAGCGGGTGGTTAAGACCCGATCTAGTCCAAATAACGCGCTGAACTGGAACTGGTCTGAATACGTGCCGCTGCAACTCTCGGCCATGCTCGTGCGCCAGGTGGATGATGGATATGGAAAAAAGGTCAGATCCCAACGGAGTGTTTGAGATCCCGTACCCCCACGGAACCTGGGACGGATCAGCCCACAATGGAGACATATTATAAAATTTCTGCCTCTCGGAAGTTTCTGGCCGGCCCCTGGGGACCTTCATGAACGCTTCCGACTGCTTTCGGGTTGCTCGGGTCTCCTTCGGATCCCTCAAGTTTCCTTTGGATTCATTCGGATTCCTTGAGGTTTTCTGCGGATTTCTTCGGACTCCCTTGGGTTCCTTAGGATTTCGTTGGTTTCCTGCGGATCCCTTGGGGTTCCTTCGGCTCCTTCGGGGTTCCTCTGGAGTCCTCGGAAAGTCTCAGGAACGCTTTTGGGTCCCCCAGGCCCTCTGGATTCCCTAGGATTCCTCAGGGTTCTTCAGGATTCATCCATGGTCCATCTCCGTTTGGTCTTCTCTGGATCAATTTTTGGCTGTCTCTGAACTCCTTTGGGTTCCCAAATGAACGGCATTCGGATTCCATTGGATTCCTTAGGACCCCTGAACGGCATCCGGAAGAAACCAAACAACTCCAAAAGAATCCAGAGGAGGAATACGGAGGAATCGTTGGAATCCCGACGCATCGCGGGGCACTCGGGAATCCTCCAGATTCCAAAGGAATCCTTGGGATAACTGCGTAAACAGGGAACCTTCAGGAATCCGGAAACATCTGGACACGCCCTGCTGAATCCCAAGGAATCCTGCGAGGATCCCGAGGCCCTGCGGAATCCCAAGGAACCCTGATTAATCTTCGCGAAACAATCCTTTAGGAAGCTTGGGGGCATTCGTATGAATGAGAAGCGCGTGCTTCTGCACAGTCGGAGGAGCATGGTTGCCACATGATGTTCTTATGACGTAACACTGGGTGTCTGAATCAGAAGTGTATCGTGTTGGTATGAGGAGCGTATGGCTTTTCGATAGCGAACACACCGTTTCCACATGATAAAGCATATACCCTATAATGCTATGGTTTTGAAACTTAGACGTAAGATGTTCGTGATATGCGAATGGCCAACATATCAGGGGCGCGTTCCCACATGAACAGCGTATAGTTTCTATGTGAGAAACGTATGGTGTTGAGCCGCATGACGTGTATACGATACGCGTACCGCCATCATGCAAGAAAAACATGTTTCAAATTGCACATGCATCAACTCCATATGGGTAGCGCATGGCTTTTACATTGCGTACGTTTGCTTCTTTACAATTGAGAAGCAACGTTTTCATACTGGAAGCGCATCACTTTTGCATGAGGAACGCACGGTCTTCCAATGGGAAGCTTGTGTGCGTCGCACCAGAAACGTACGGCTTCCATACGGGCAACATGTGGTTTTCACATGGGACCGTATGCTTTTCGTATGGGAAACACATGCGTGTCACGTGGGCAACGCACATGTCGTACGACTATAACGGGATTCATATGACAACCGCGCTGTTTCTCTCATGAGAAACGCGGGGCGCTCATATGAGACATGCCTAGGTTAAACAAGAAACCTATAGTTTCAGATGGGAAGGGGTTTGGTTATCATGTGGGAAACGCTGTCTTGTTACATGAGAAATCTACCCTAACGGGCGGGCCGGGTCGGCCGGGCAAGACATTACAATAAAGTGCAGAGCCGAACTCGCACGTAAGAGCTGTAAAACGCGGGTCGGGCCTGGTGGGCGGATCCTAACTGGCGGGTCGGGCCGGGCGAGCGGGACACTCAAGTATGATGCATAAGCGAATTGGCACTACAGACCCCTAACGGGCGAGTCTGGTCGGGCGGGCAGGCCCTAACAGGCGAGGCATTAATGCGTCGCCGTCTTCGTCGTTGAACGTCCCCGTCGCGGTCGTGGTCGTGGTCGTCATCGTGTCATCGTCGTCGTCGTCGGGGGTCCGTCGTCAGTCGTCGATCGTCCGTCATCCGTCGTCGTCGTCGTCGTCGTCGACGTGGTCGACGTGGTCGTTGTCGTCGTCATCGTCGTCGTCCGTCGTCCGTCGTCACCGTCATATTCGTCCTCGTCGTCAGTCGTCAGTCGAAGGTCATCAGTCGTTGTCGTCGTCGTCGTCCATCGTCGTTGTCTTCGTCGTCGTCACCGTCGGCGTCATTGTCGCCGTCCTCGTCGTTGTCGTCATCGTCGTTGTTGATTTGTCGTCGTCCGTTATCCGTCGTCCGTCGTTCGTCAGCCCTGTTCCGTGGTCCGTGGTCCGTCGTCCGTCGTCGTCGTTCGTCGTTGTCGGCGACCGTCGTCCGTCTTCCGTCGTCAATCGTCCGCTCGTTCGTTCGTTGTCGTCGTTGACGTTGGCGACGTCGTCGTCATCCTCCTCCTCCTCGTGCTCCTTGTCGTTTGTCTCTTATCGTTTCGTTTAATATTTGTTGTTGGTCGCTCGTCGTTCGTCGTCGTCGTCTACCATCGACCGTTGACCATCGTCCTTGTTTTCGTCGTAGTCGTCGACCGTTGACCGTTGACCGTCGTCCGTCATCCGTCGTCCTTCCTCCGTCGTCTGTCGGTTTCTGGCGCCTGTGCTCGCCGTCGTCTTTGCCAACAACGAGAAGGGGCGGGAAGGGGTGGTCCACACCCGCCCCCTTGAAGGGGGGAGGGGGGTTCAAACCCCCCTTCGTTTTGCACTGGGGAGGGGGACGGGGACCCCCCCCCCAACCCCTCGCGCAAGGGGGGGGCGGTTGCAGGCCCCCTGCTGCCCGTGCGCACAGAAATAATTCTTTCGCGCCTGACAAGCTTATGGCTTGCTCATGAGAGGCTCATGGTTTCACATTCGCAAAGCGCGGCTGTTGCTTGACAGTCGCATGTATTAGATAGTAGAAGCATGCTGCCCTCCTGGGGAAAGATATGTATCACATGGGGGACGCACGGAGCTCGTATGAAAAGCAGTGGTTGTCGTAGTTTGCTTTTCGGCGGCGTGCTCATTAAAGAAACTAGCCTATTTACTTGTAGGTCGGCCACTCTAATACTCTGCCACCACGGCTACTACTACTACTACTACTACTACTACTACTACTACTACTACTACTACTACT